TTTTGTCTTTTTGAGACAGGGTCTCCCTGTAGCCCCAGCTGTCCTGGAACTCACTATGTAGACCAGGCTGGCCTCGAACTCACAAAGATCCGCCTGCCTTTGCCTCCCAAGTGCTGGGATTAAAGGTGTGCGCTACCACTCCCTGCCATACAAACCTTTCTAAAATAGCTATTTTTTGTTAGAAACAGAGGAAAGAAAAGGTTTCAGTGTGATTACAGACTGTACCATAAATCCTATAATATAAAGTGGAGTGTTAGCTATATGCACAGGGATTAGAAGTTCTGTCAATGGAGATGGATTTACAAAGAGCTTCCAGACACTGCTCTTCTCAGTGGTAGGAAATGTCCTAGTCATGCTCTCTGTGAGTTCCAGGACAGCTGGGCCTACAGGGAGACCCTGCTTCAAAAAAAGACAAAATAATAATAAATAATAATAATAATAATAATGATAATCAGAAACAAAGGGAGCATGTAGAAAGAGAATACCAAGTTAAACTCATGTGTGTCAGTAATCCATTTAGGAGAACAGCACTTGTCAGAATAGAGAAAAATAGAAAAAAATGTGTCTTAGGCTATTTGAAAAGGAGGCATTAAGTATAGTAATACTGCTGGTGAAAAGTAAAGACTGGATTGGTGGTGTAGCTCAGTTGCAGAGTACTTGCCTAGGTATATGAGGCCCTGGGTTTGATCTCCAATATTGCAAAGTAAAAGGATAAAAATACATCATTCTCAGGACTAGGGAGATTGCTTAGCAGGTGAATGTGCTTGCTGACCTGAGTTCAGATCCCTAGCACTCACATAAAGCAGGGCACGGTCACATATGCCTGTAACCTCAATGCTGTGGGGAGCAGCGTGATTACTGATATGTATGAGTTTAACTTGGTATTTGTTTTCTACATGCCTCCTTTGTTTCTGGTTCTGTGGTGCTTATGGACCACTAGCCTAAGTTCAGGTCTGCTAGAGACATGGTTGCATACACCTACACTCTCACCTGTATATACCACACACACTCTCAGACACCGAAAAAGGAAAAAATACACAGTGCACAACACTGATCACAACAAAGTTGGTACCGCTGTGTTACTTGAAAGGAGCAAAGGAGACTTGAGAGAAGTATCCTGTAATCGCAGCCCTCAGGAGATAGAGGCAGGAGTATTGCTGCAAGCTGGAGACCAATCTGGAATACACTGTAAGTTCCAAGCCAGAGAACTTATCTCCAAAAAAAAGGAAATGTCCAGACAAATAGGGGCAGTTTGGAATGATGAAAGGAAGACTTTATCAGGAAAAAGAAAAATTATGCTCCTAAATTGTGTGTGTATGTATCTGTTAACACAGTTCCACGATACATGCAGCAGGACTGGGGGTACAGCTTTGCAGTAGAATGCTTACCTAGCATGTGTAAAGCCCTGGTGTGATCCCCAACACTGCAAAAAACAACACTGCAGAGAGAAATCAGCAAGTCAAGTCTATCAGTTCCTTCCGTTGGAACTGACTGAAAAGTAGCCCCTCACACTCTGCTTAAGAAAATCAGTAAGCCTACAGAATATCTGAACAGATCCAAATAACTACAATTGCATAATATATTTTTGGACCACAGAATTAAACTAGCTGGGCATAGTGGCACATGCCTAGAATCCCAGTCCTTGGAAGGCCTAGGCAGGAAAAGCTAAGGCCATTCTAGCCACAGAGCAAGACCCTGCCTCAAAGACCAAAAAAGAATTGCATTAGAATTGGTAACATAGGATATAGGAAATTTCTGTGGCAATGAAACAGTACACGTCCATGAAGTTCTGGAATAAGCAAAGCTGGTCTATGCACTAGAAACTAGAGGCAGGGGCTGGAGAGATGGTTCAGAGGTTAAGAGTGTCTGCTTTTGCAGAAGACCTGGGTCTCAGGACCAACATGGCTACTAACAACTCTCCATAACTCCAGTTCCAGGGAATCTTACACACCCTCTTCTGACCTCGGGTGTTGCATGACACGGGTACACTTACTTACTTGCAGGCAATACACTCATACATGTAAAATAAAAATAATAATTTTTAAAAAAAGAAAGAGCACTAGGCATGGTGGCGCACACCTTTAATCCTGACAGAGGCAGGCAGACTTCTGTGAGTTCAAGGCCAGCCTGATCTACAGAGTGAGTTCCAGGCCAGCTGGGGCTATAGGGAGACACTGTGTCAAAAAGACCAAGAAAGAGAGAGAGACAGACAGACACTCACTAGAGGCAGGGTTTGCCTCAGGAGAAAAGTGGAGATTGCAAAGGGAGCTGGAAGCTTTTTGGAGTAATGGAAATGTTCAGTGTCCTGATTGGGTAATAATTAAGTAAATAGATGGCGACATTTGCTGGCTTCTTATAACCAAACAGTAGAGTCTGCACATTTAGTTACACTGTTGCCTGTTTTAAATGGAATCAGTGTCTGCAGTATCATCCACCTTGGTTGGCTCAAGGTAGATGCTATATCAGCCTGCATCAGGCCAAAAAATGGAGTATCACATTTTCTGTTTTCCTCTTCCAGCATTAGTGACCAGAAGGATCCCAGGGATCGAATGGTTCAAGTTGTGAAATGGTACCTCTCAGCCTTTCATGCAGGAAGGAAAGGATCAGTGGCCAAAAAGCCATACAATCCTATTTTGGGTGAGATCTTTCAGTGTCATTGGACATTGCCAAATGATACTGAGGAGAACACAGTGAGTTTTACATTGCCATTTTTTAAAATCTACTTATTCATTTTTATTTATTGTGGCTCTGTGTGTGTCTGTGTCTGTCTGGACAAGCAAGTATTGCAGCCTCATGTTTGGGGATCCGAGGACAACTCAGCAATCAGTTCTCTTCTTCTACCATATGGGTCTCAGAGATTGAATTCAGGTCATCAGGCTGGGCAGCAGACCTCTCTCCTGACAATCTTAACCAACCATGAGCCACCTCTGCAGCCCTGTGTTATGGTTTTAATTGTCTCATGGTATATATTGACTTGATGAAGACAGTGATCTTAAGATGCACACCATGCAAAGAACATTTAGATGAGCATATTTTGAAAATGTTGGGGGAAGGGGGCTGGAGAGATGGCTCAGTGGTTAAGAGCACTGACTGCTCTTGCAGAGGACCTGGGTTCAGTTTCCAACACCCACATGGCAGCTAACAACAAACCCTACTTCCAGTTCCAGGGGATCCCATGTCCTCTTCTGTCCTCCATGGGCATGTATGACAGGAGTGCACTTACATACATGCAGGCAACACACTCATAAATGTAAAATAAAAATAATTTTAAAAAGAAAACAGAGTGGCACAGTTTAAGGGTGGGTATTAAGAAATCATATCAGGGGCTACAGAGATGGCTCAGTGGTTAAGAGCACTGACTGCTCTTGCAGAGGACCTGGGTTCAGTTCCCAGCACCCACATACTAGCTAACAACCGTCTATAACTCCAGTTCCAGGGGGCATCCAGTACCCTCTTCTGACCTCTGTGGGCATTGCGTGACACGGGTGCACTTACATACATTCAGGCAATACACTGATACACATAAAATTTTTTAAAAAAGAAATCGTATCAGCTGGGTGTAGTGGTGCATGCCTTTAACCCCAGCACTCAGGAGCCAGAGGCAGGTAACCTTCTGTGAGTTCAAGGCCAGCCTGATCCATATAGCAAGTTTCAGGCCAGCACATGAGTACACAGTGAGACCCTGTCTCAAAAAGTAAAAGAAAAAGTCAGCTGGAAACTTGTTTAGGATCTCTGCACAGGGAAATAGGTCTGTACTGGGGTACACTCACATGATGAAGCAGGAGCTGAGTGGGTGGGACTTCTGTTGCTTTCCACAGCCACTTCCCCTTTCCTTCTGGACATACATTTGCACCTCCTTTGCGTTCAGGTGGGGTGATGGGGTTATTTCTGGCCAAAAACTTATGAATGAAAATGACCCTTCTGGGCTGAAGCATTTAATTGCTTGTGTGAAATCCTACAGCATTCTTTTCTCCTGCTGTGGTGACTGGGAGCCTTGTTTTTCAGACTGTGTTCTACCATTTCTTCAGCCTGAGCCCTAACTGAATTTTTAGAACAGATCATGCGACCAACCGTTGTACACCAAAATGGTGATTTTTATGGCTTGTCAGGCTATCAATTTTGTTTTGAAAAGATTATAATTTTGTAAAACCCAGATTTAGAGCCCAAATCCTCAAAAAGTTAATATTCCAGAAAAGAGGGCTGGTTCCAGCTACATTTCAGAGGTAGAACTGATGGGTAGATTAGGGAGTTCAAGAAAAGTGGACAGTTAGGGATGAGTCCTTTCACGTGGGCTTCAGCAGTCAGTAATGTTATTTTACCGGTAAAGAATGATCAGAACTGGGGGGTTGGCGGGGCAGCTGAGAGCTCTAATTTGAAATTAGTTTGAGGAGCCTGTTGGTCATACAAATGGAGCTTTCAGTTGGAATCTGACAGAAGTTTGAGGTGGAGGCAGGGCTTCCAAAGATTTTCATATACCTAGATGGCATCACTTTTGATCCCCTAGATTTGGATAAAATTATGTAAGATGTTCTGGCTAGAGAAGAGTAGTCTACCCCGAACTGAGCCCCAGAGCTGTGATATTTGTATATGTATTTATTTTTGCTTGATTATTATTGTGGAAGAGCATGCATGATATTGGAGGGCACACATGTAATGGCAAGGGTGTGAAGGTCAGAAACACAGCTTTGTGGGGTCAAGTCTCTCTACCTTCACATGAGTTTGGGGATTTGAACTCTGGTAGCCAGGCTTTCATGGCAAGTGCTTGTTCACCCACTGAGCTATCTTGTCAGCCTCTGGACTCTGATATTTGAGTTTGGTTTAAAGACAGCAACTAGCAAGAAAGAATCAAATCCATGTTGAAAGGCTTCTAGGGATGGAGTAGGAAAAGCCCCTAGCCACAGTGCCTCAGTCATGATAATCCTTCAGCAAATGTGATTCCCCATATCCATTTCCAAGACACATTACTGTGTAGACCTTATGGAAGACAGAGGCAATGTGTTTTGGTTCCTGTTCATTACATAAGGGTGTTATCGATGTCAGGCCTGGCTTTGGCGCCTGTCTCGTTAGGTACATGCATACATAAAGCCTTCAAGAATTTTAGTATAGTCAGGGAAACTACAAAGCCCTAATTGTAATAGTGCAGTGAAGTACCAGAGGGTGGGTTCAGGTGGGAGCACAGATGCTGGTTATTAGGTTCTGTGTTGTCCTTTGTTCCCTAAAAAAGTTTGTTTTTGTTTTGTTTTTAATTGATGTTTCTTATTTTCATACAGGAGCTAGTTTCAGAAGGACCAGTTCCCTGGGTTTCTAAGAACAGTGTAACATTTGTGGCTGAACAGGTTTCCCATCATCCACCCAGTAAGTTACAGATCTTTTCTACAACTTCCACCTTTTAAAAAAATTTTATTTTTATTTTATATGTATGAATGCCTGCACGTGAGATGTAAGGGCACCCATGTCATGCGGTACCTGTAAAGATCAGAAGAGGCATTGGATCCCCTGGAGCTGGAGTTACAGGTGGTGGTTAGCTACATTGGGTGCTAGGAACTGAACTGGGGTCCTCTACAAGAGTAGCCAGTGCTCTTAACCACTGAAACGTCTCTCCAGCCCCTAGAACTTCCACTTTTAAACTATTCCAAAGACTGTCATTAAGAGCGCCATAGCTTAAGGTCACTTTACCGTTATTTGAATGGTTAGCTGTATTTCTTCTGTTACCAGAATTGGAAATGCAGTTGTTTCCTCTTTCTTCTTTGTGTAAGTTTCAGAGTCCATATTACTGATTAAATGTGTATAAAAAGAAGGGGCTTGGGACACTAATGCTCAGTGCTTCAAACTCATCTTCTGTGTTTGTTTGTCTACAGTCTGTTTATAGGGTCCTTAGCAACTTGAAGTCCATTTGCATAAGTAGGTAGTTGGAGCAGTGTACCCCAGATATGGTGGGGAGAATATCTAATCTCGACATCTTGCTTGCTCAGTGTATGGAAATCCTGAATGGACTGAGATTTGGGTGGGACACAAGCATCCTTGCTTTAGATTTTAAATCTTCTGAATTGGCTATGTCTCCATATTTTGGGGGAGCTCCTGCACACCTAGCTCTGAATGTGTGCTTGCACTGGGGAAGAGACGTAGAAGGCAGGTAGACACAGCATGACATGAGGCTGTTCTCTCTGAAGGGTAAAGGATTTTCCCTATAGAGCCTGTTTTTTTCCCCCAAATTAAATCGGTTCGGAGAAATGGCTGTAATTATATAATGTGTTAATGGAAAATACTTTTATTCAGTTTCAGCTTTTTATGCAGAATGTTTTAACAAGAAGATACAATTCAATGCTCATATCTGGACTAAATCAAAATTCCTTGGGATGTCGATTGGGGTGCACAATATAGGACAGGGTAAGTCTGGTGATTTGGTCTATTTAATTATGTATTTAATAAAATTCTTGTATGTGCTAGACAGTCATAAGGAAAAATGTAAGGAACAGTGTTCCCTTGAAATTCAAGCTGGGTGTCCTTATTTACATGAGGAGGGAATAGGGGTGGGGCATGAACCAACAAGTCATTCCTCAATTGAATGGAGTGTCACACCCATCAGCTGGAGAGCAGAGCCTGTGGCCAGACGCTGCTGTTCACCAGAGGCTCTCTGTTCCTTCTCTTCACAGGCTGTGTCTCATGTCTAGACTATGATGAGCATTACATTCTTACATTCCCCAATGGTTATGGAAGGCAAGTAAATCGTTTCTTCCCATCAACAGCTTGCTGTTCTTTACTTAAACCACTCTCCTTCTGTCCTGACCGCCAGCCTTACCTGAGAACTTTTGATTTTGTAGGTCTATCCTAACAGTGCCCTGGGTGGAATTGGGAGGGGAATGCAATATCAACTGCTCCAAAACGGGCTACAGTGCAAATATTGTCTTCCACACTAAACCTTTCTATGGGGGCAAGAAGCACAGAATCACTGCAGAGATTTTGTAAGTATTTTGTTTTTCTTCCTCAGTGTTGTATTTTTGTGGAATATTTTTCTTTCTCTCTTGAACTTCTGATAGGAGTTAAGTGATTCTGTCCTTGTAAACCTGTTTCATAATATTGGGTGTCAGTCTTTTCCTGAAATCTTATGTCAAAAAGAGACCTACACCCTAGACTCAGAACAGTCAGAGGTGGTTCATGAGATCTCCTGCCTGATTTGCAACGGGAAACTGAAAGGCTCTGGAGAGAGACCCTAGAGAAGAGAGGTTCCCTAGCTCCCCACACACCATGAAGTCCAACCTTCTTGCCAGGTTGGACCATGAGCTAGTCCTTACAATAGCCTTTGTGACCTCACTAAACTATCTGCCAAGTCTTCACAAAGCCCTCATTTTTTCATGCCTTTGCTAGAGGAAAACAGTAAGCCTTACATGTAGTGTAGGTATTTGGTTTGGTTCCTTTCAGTAGTTAGGTTCAGGGAAGGCAAGTGGAGTAACAGGGATTTGGTGGGTTCAGAAACTGCCTGGAAGAAGAGTCTGTCCTTTTATGGCCCAAGGCTTTTTCTGTGCTTTGGAAGGCAACAGTGCCCAGATGGAACTGGTTAATCAATTTTCCAAGGAGATAATTTAATTTGGATAACAGAACCAACTTAAAAAGACACTGACTAATCTTGGACCTGGGTTTGGGTCCCAGCACCCATAATGGAGGCTAACAACCATCCTTAACTGACCCCACTTCCCTCTGCAGGCAGTTGCATGCATGGGTGCACCTACAATACATGCAGGAAAATATTTGTACACATTAAAAAAAAAATATCGAGCAGGATGGGACCACAAACATACAGGAAGTTTACTATTTCATTCAGAAAATGTGGGCAGGGCATAAAGAGCAGTACAGTTCACTTTGTAATTCAGCTGCCTCCTAAAAGACAGATGTGTTTTCAGGGTGCTCAGAACAGACATGGCTGGGCCTGCCTCTCGGAGCTCCTGAGAGAGCCAGTACCCACAGGAAGCGTTAGCTCAGCAAGATTCTCTGCCCATCAAAGCCATATATAATAAAAAGGCTATCCCTCAAAGCTGTGAACTAGAGGAGCTTCTGGGGTGGCAGGGTGGTGGGGGTGCTTAGAGAGTTGAGTATTAGACTACAGTAGCTAGATTACATTCAACCTTGTTAGGTTGTGGGCCCCTTTAGTAGGAACTCCAAAGTGTTTTGTTTATACTGATTGAATTCATGATCTTTCCCATGAAAAACTAAAAGATTTTAAAATTTCTTGCAAGTGACAATTGGATTTTTTTATGAAAAATAAGTCCTAAAAGTTTTCTTTAAAAATCTTTAAAAAGTGTGGCACTGGGCTAGAGAGATCACTCAGCAGTTAAGACCACTAGGTGCTCTTGCAGAAGACCCAGGTTCTTTTCCCAGCACCCACAGAGCAGTTAGCCACTGTCCAAAACTCTAGTTCCAAGGGACTCTGATGCCTACTTCTGGCCTCTACAGACATTGCATGCCCGTGGTACACTTACATAACATGCAGGCAAAATAAAAAATTTTTCAAGTGTGGCACTGAGCTCTGTAAGTCTCTAGTTTATACAAGGCAGATGGATTCTTAGCTGGTATTCAGTTTATTGATATCACATATCCTCTGAAAACCCATAATTTCGAAAAAAACTGAGTAAAGAAAAACGGAGAAGAGAAGTAGTATTTCACAGTGAAAATGGGTTGGCCTTTTGAGCTCCCTCCCAGATGGTGTCTTAGGAACCCTGAACGGTCCCCAAACACCTTGAGAGAGTTTTCATTTGGTGAGTAGCAGTTTTCCTCTGCTGTTTTCACGCTTTGACCTTTTCCTTTCATGCCATGTCCTTCCTAACCTGGCTTTTGCGGTCATCTGCCCATATTCCATACCTGCATATCCATGGTGTCATGGAGAGGTCATTCGGGGCTCTTGAGGAAGGGATCCTTGCTCAGGAAAAGCAGTCAGATCTTTGTCCCTTTACACCAGAGGATGAAGTCTAGTCTCCACCATTAGGATCTTAAGCTAGGCTTCCTTAAACCAACCGTTTTCTCCTTGGCCCCTTGTCTGTATCATCCCCCAGGGTACTTCCCATCTAGAATCTTAGTGGCAGTCTCTCTTCACAGCTAGGAAATTGGAGTGCAGGGAATGTACCAAGCCCCAGTATTTAGCTAGCACCTTACCCATCTCACACCTACTATTGATGGGATCTGTAGTTCATGAGCATTTTGTTCAGGTCCCTCATTCCTAGAGTTGGCCTGTGAAATCAGTTCTGTTCAGCTCTTTTACCAAAGCCCTCACAGTTGCTGTTCTGTGCTTTATTATATACGTAGGCTATCCTGACCACGTTCTTGGAGAGTCATTTTCATCTTGAGTCTAAACATTGTTTCCTTTTCTGTTTAGCTCTCCAAATGACAAGAAGTCTTTTTGTTCAATTGAAGGGGAATGGAATGGTGTGATGTACGCAAAATACGCAACAGGGGTAAGAACCTATATTTTGCCAGTCTGTCTTAGAGTACATTGAATTGTAGCCAGTTTCTTATGCTTATTTCCTTCACCTGGAATTATAACCACCAAGAGCCACTGTCACTTCTTCAGGGTGAGCCTTCCCTCCTTTCTCTCCCTACTTTCCAGCAATGCAGGTAGCACAATGGTTTTTACTTTTTTCTGCTCTCAAAACATGAGGGGGCTAGAGACACGGGTCAGCGGTTTGGGTGTTGCCTGCTCTTCCAAAGGACCGACGCTGGGTAGCTTCCAGTTGCCTGAAACTCAACTCCAGCACCCTCTTCTGTCATACGCCTACACCTGCACGCACGCACGCACTCACGTATACACATGAAAATCCTAAGAAAATAAACTGGTGCTGCCCAGTAAATGCCAGGTATATTGTCAAAATGTTTATAAAATGAAGTGCTAAACTGTTTTTAGACATTCACAGTTTTGTAATTAATAAAATTTATTGACTGACTTGTGCCTAGGATAGAGAAGTAACTGCGAACTGCCATCAGGGAACGTGGCTTCTATGCAACACTCATAAAATGTCTCCATTAAGCCAGATTAGCAAGGAGTGCAGGTGAATGGCAATTTGGAGAAAAGTTGTAGCCCATCTGAAGACAGGCTATTTAACGTGAAGATTACTTGTTAGGGGTCATCTGGCTCCCCAAGAGATTCTACTCCTAGCATATAGCACACAGCCATGTTGAATAATCTGATGAATTGTACCTGTAAACTTAATACAGACAACAGTTTCTATTTTAGGCTTGAGGCTTTATATAAAACTCACTGAATTATTAAGATACACGGGATTTATGAGTTAAAGTCTTGGAAAGGCCAGCTGCAGTAACAGTCTGAATAGTAAGCATCATTCTTCCTCTTGTTGTCTAGGAGAATACTGTCTTTGTAGATACCAAGAAGTTGCCTATAATCAAGAAAAAAGTGAGGAAGTTGGAAGATCAGAATGATTATGAATCCCGCTGGTAAGGAGCCATAACGAACAGCTGCTGTGGTGCTTCATTGCCTCAGCATGGGTACAGGTCGGGTCTGGGAGACAGAATCGTGAGGAACACTGACTGAGCTCAGTGCCTGGGGCCCTTTGCTAGTTTGCCGACTTCTCTCTCTTTCCCTGTATTTGGAATCACAGCCTTAAGAAGCCATGTCTTACACCTTTAAGTCCCTGCAGTTGACTCTACCCTTCCAGGATCACATTTTAAGTCTAAAGGAGTTTTTCTGAAATGAAAATTCTTATATCCTCTGATAATAACCCTTTTACTTTACAATAAAAGATACCCAAGCCCTAGAGAAGTAAGTTGAACTCCCCAAAGTTGTAAAGAAAGAGTCAGAAGTAGACATCCAGGTCTCAGCTCCCACCGTTTCTGTCCTCTGTTATGTGTCAAATTGCCTGTCCTTTGTTGACAGTTAGCAGTGGGCTCTTAGGGGCCAGGTTCTATGCTCCTTGCTCCCCCAGTGCCCTGCTGTCAGCTTAAGGAGCTCTATTCTGCACTCCAGCACTTAAGCCATTTGAGTTAGTTATGCTGTTCTCAGAGGTGGTTGGAGGCTTACATTCTTAAGCTCACTAGGACCTTTTGAACTTCAGCCTTTGGAAAGATGTCACTTTCAACTTGAAAATCAGAGATATTGATGCAGCAACTGAAGCAAAGCACAGACTTGAAGAAAGACAAAGAGCAGAAGCCCGAGAAAGGAAGGAGAAGGAGATTCAGTGGGAGACCAGGGTAAGCCTCTGCCTCCTATTTCCCCTGTAGCTTGAGCAGGAACTTGTTCATTTAAATGCATTTGAAGAGGTGGCATGTCAAACATTCTCGGTGAATAAGACTGGCCCCTGCCTGAAGCTCATACTGGGGGATAAGGGGTGAGCGTGGCATGAAATAGAGTATGCTCTTCCCAAAGCAAGTATCTAACTGACTCGTCTCTTTCTCACATAGCTGTTCCATGAAGATGGAGAGTGCTGGGTTTATGACGAACCATTACTGAAACGTCTTGGTGCTGTGAAGCATTAGGCTGGACACTCGGAGCTCATACCTGGTGACCAGAGCAGCAGGCATAGTTAAGCAACAATCGATCTTCCTTCAGGAGAACCCATCACTCCCTTCTTATTGCAGTGGTTCCTATCTCAGGGATACTGGACTTTATTTACAATGCAGATGAACAAGTAAAGTGGGAAAAGCTTCCCTGTTTTCCTCTGGCAGTTATAATTTTGACTTCAGTCCTGAGAAAAACTTCAGGTTTTGAAACAAGATGTCTCTTCCCTTTCCAAGTCTGCTTTCAAAAGCATTTATAAACCCAAGTCTCAACATTCTGTACTCTAGCTCTGCTGTTAAGAATATATAAGACCTTTGTTTCCTAGTTCCTATAATCTTGGGTTCTATGTATACATATTATACACATACACACGTACCTATACACGTGTACACCTGATGACAGATTTTTCATAAGTACTCCCATCTGTAAATATTGTTTCCCGAGAGTTGTTTTAGAAAATTAGCGCAATGTATTAAATCAAGTGTTAGGAAATTTCACGGTTTCACCTATAATAATTTTTATTTTGGAATTGAACTATTATTAAATTGTATCTAAACCTGGATTACAGTTTAATTATATGCAGTGCTTTTAAGGCTTCATAAAGTAATTTTTCCAACCTTTTTAAAACTATGTTTCTTCATTTTCAGGATTTAAAAATCTAGAAACCAATTTGGTGACCCTTGTAAGATATAGCTTCTCATCAGGGCTCGTAACATAACAGAAGAGCTAGCCTTTCCCCCTCCCTTACCCAAGCTCTCCTGGTTCCTGAGTTACTCCTTCTGCAGTACATGCAATTCGTCTAAAAATGCTTAATTGTCTCATGGGCTTGGAAAGGAGCATACTTTTTTTCAGATCCTCACCCCACAACTAAAACATTTAAAGAAAAAAAGACTGCCACGGCAAATGGCGTGATCTGAAAGGAAATAAGAGAACTATCTTTATTCAAAATACATTAAAAAAACAGGTACCTAGCATTTTGGTACTAGTAACAAATTAGTTAGTTACATATAGGCTCTTAGGAACTGGATTCTCCTCCTCAGAGAACACAGGCTAGGCCTTCCCCACCCAAACTCTTGATGTAAGCGTTTGGCTCACAATTGCCCACCCGGCTGATTTCTCTTTGCCAGCTAATACAGTAAATAACCCTGGGTTAGTCTTAATAGAGGAGAGAAAGCAAATCAAATCCCAAGTCACCAGTGCAAAACTTCAACAGAAGCCCTAAGGCAACAGTAGTGTAGTCCCATTAAATACACACTGCTTCGGGCCAATGAGAGTGCAGTTTATTTGACTATTTTATGGTAGGGGAAGAGGCTGAGTGTTGATGTGAAGGCCCTGATGTCAGTAATGGGGATGGTAGAACCTGCCAGGAGAGGAGAGGGTGGCAAGTAGGTTAGCTGCATCCCTTCATGAGAATTTGGATCCTCACCAGAAGGGGTGGCCTCTTCCTCCAGCTCATACTTCCCATATCCAACAACCTGAAAGAGGCCAAAGACTCAAGGTGAGAAACATGCCAACCTGATTTAAGCAAGATTTGTTTAGAATCTGTGCCAACAATCCAAACATGCTCCAAAAATAACACTGAAAAGAAAAGAGCTACGGTTTGGTTAACCATACTCACATGAACGCTGAGCATTTTACTTCCAGGTCCTCTGTGAGCCGTGAACCAATTGACCAAGTCTGATTTTGAGAAGGACTTCAATGCTTCAATCTTATAGGTGAAAAGAACATAGGAAAGAAATAGGTTTAGGAGCTTTACCCCCATGCAGAACTGCTTAGCATCTGAATTCATTTGATTGGGTCTCTACTTGTCGCTTTCTACAAAGAGTAAAGATGAACTTCAGTGACAAGCCTTCGTATTTCATAGCAATGGTCTATGTTAGCAGTAGTGTAATTACAGCTGAGTATTGTAACCTGAACCAGAAACCCAAGTCCTTAGTGTCACATTTCACAGGGCAGCTGCATAACTGCCTTAAGAAAACACAGCAGCTATGGAGACAGGTGAGCTGAGGGTTTTGTACCCTTTGGTGAACTGAGCTGACACCTAACAGCTTGGAATGCATATCAGAACACCACTGGACTGTAGAGCCCAAAGCTCTTTTGTGATGGCCTTAGTAATTTCAGATAGAAGATGCCAAAAGATCTGGAGGAATCAGAATTCATAAAAACTTGAGCTCCTCATTTTCTTAGCAGAAGCCTAAAATGAACTTCAGTATGTAACACAAGAATGGAGCTGCTCTAGGAGAAACTGGGTGTGTAAAAGTTAGCATCATACATTGCCACTTAAGAAACTAAAGTCTAAAAACTAAAGATTACGTTGAGAAAAAGGCAAATAAGCAAGCCAGGACAAATGTCCAGGGTTTTCCTTCCACACAATACTAGTTTGCTTGGACTTAAGACATGGGTAGTCCACCTTCCCCAGTCCCTTAGGGCTATCTTGGTCTGAAATCATTACCTCATGGGCAAGGCGGTCAAACAGATACTGCTGTGTCACCACTTCATTCCAGTTCCTGTCCACCTCCTCCCCGAGGTGAGTATCCTCACACTCTTTCAACTTGATCAGAGCTGTGACCTGTTCCCACCAAAAACACACAGACATGGCTTCAGACTAAATGTAGCCTGTGATAGACCCACCAGCATGGTGAGGAAGGAAGTTAAGGGGACATATTATGGTCAGATTGAGTGGGACTACAAAGTCAAAAACCTGACCACCATGCAAGGAAGCACTGTGAAGACCGCGCGGGCACCCTGAAGGCTTCCAAAGGCCAACCGACCAGGCTGGGTAGTCAGTCACCTGAGTGTTGAATGCATCTTCAGTGAGGTTCTCAATCTTTTCCTCAAAGCTGGAAAGGAATTCTTCTATCTTCTTATCAACAGTTTCAGAGCTGAAACAAAATATGTTTAATGAAAAGTCATCAGAGATACGGCCTTGGGTAGAAGTCAAAGGAATTCAGACTCAGGCATATTTTCAGGAAAAAAGCCAAAATTTTTCTACCCTAAGCCAGGATAAGGAAATGGGGAAGAACCTTCCTGTCCACCAACTTGCGGCTTCATTTCCTGGTGCCCAAGCACTAACCAGTGCAATGGCAGCCAGGCTGTACCATTTTACAACTGCCAACTGTCAAGGTCCTACAGCTCAGTTCCAGCCTGAAAGCAAGTTAAATTTACAGGTTTTTTGATTTTTTTTGAAATAGGATCAATATAGCCCAGGCTGGCCTTGAATTCCTGATCCTTCTGCCTCAAGTTCCCATACACTGGAATTGCAGGGATAACCCATTATACCTGGCTTTATATGGTGCTGGGAATCCTACCCAAGGTTTTGTGCCAATTAAGCAAGCACTCTTTATCAGTTGAGCTACATCAATTGGACATCTCCAGTCCAACATCCTTTCTCTTTTTGCAGTCTCCCAGAAAAGAACATTGGCAAGCCCTGTAGAACAACCTCTGCAGGATTTGAGCCAAGTCCTGTGGAACCAGTGGAACTGTTGATTAGTCCTAGATAGCCCATTTATCATTCGTCCACTTCCAACTAAGCAAGGCAAGCACCGCTTGGTTAGGGTTGCAAGTTTTAGGGAATCACTGTAGCCCCACTCTCCATGTCCAGACAAGGGACCTAACTACTCCCTTACTCACTTGTATTTGGTAGCCTGAGTCCCAACGGTGACAGAGAATCCTAGAATCCCAGATGTGTTCCTACAAGTTGGGTAGACGTGGTACCTAAAGCCGGAGAGAAGTTACATGAACTTACGCAGTCACCTGATTCATGTCCACAGAGGCACTAGATACATGGGGGTAAAGGGTCTCTGCCCATTCAGATCTGGAGGTCCCAAAAGAAACATGAGTGTGCATGCAGCTACTTAATGCTCAAGTGAAGGTGCCTACCCTTCTGCTAAACTGGACACAAGCTAACTTTTCTCTGGCTTATCCTGAAGCTTGAACAAACCGAAATATGATCATAATCTAAGATGCAAATTCCAGAAATGCCAAAGTAGTATGGCAAGCTGCCTGCAAATTAAGTCCCAGGTCCTCAGTGCTCTGGCCAGCAGACTTACCCAAGGGTCTGCTTGGTTCGAAGGAAGTCAAAACAAGGCTCTTCCATGTGCATCTGTAATTCAACATACTCTCCATCAGCCCAACTCCCAGCAGAGACCCCTCCAATTTCTTACCCCAAGGTGTTTCACACCTTTAAAATCCAGCCTCCCTTACTACCTTCTTCCTAAAAGATCCAGACCCCTGGCTGCTCATACTGGGTGACCCTAAATGACCATCTCACCTTCCAGTGACAGGCTCCTAACTGCTCTCTGCCTAGCCCTCAGGAGAAAGGTTGGCCTCATGGTAGAGCAGGAACTCCTCAACACCTCCTCTGTGTACTTACCACAAGTAGCTCCATAAGAGTGTATTCTCTTAGACTCCTGGTACCTGACTGAAAGGAGAACACAATCAGACGATACCCAGTGGCTTGCAGGGCTTTTAAGCCATCTTGGCAACTACTTTCTTAGGTTTCGCTCCCTGTCTCCCCAACAATCCTGTGTGCAAATCTGCCTTCCCACTAGCTCAAAGGTTTGAGAACAGGAATCACGATAGAACATTTGTATTTTTGGCTCTAGTACAGACTTGCAGGTTGACATGGATATGACTCCAACAAGCCCTTATAGACACATGCAAAACACCCATACACAGAAAATAAAACCTTTAAAAAGAATAGGAACTTCCAGTCACACACAGGGTTACAAGCCAAGTGCTATCAAAGTACACAAGAGGCCTGCAGAATACCAAAAGAACTCAGAATAAAGAGGTGGGAGGCCATGCGAGGATGCTGCTAATGCATGCTGGAAAAGGTCTCTTATAGGCTTCTCTGACAGTGCTTCCTATGTTACATGAAGAGGCCAGAGCCTGTGTGACCATAAGCTCTCATTAACCAGCAGTGAGAATTCCTGCTTAGCTTTCAGAGGACTACAACATGACCAGTCAATACTCTATTAATTTCCTGTTTAGATGTGCTTTCAATGGATTCCTTTATAAGAGAAGCCAGTGTCTATAGGTAGCCTGGAAATGTGAAATCTTGCCTAGAACCTGAGGTAGTACTCTTGCCTTGAGTTTTGAGCAGGGTGAGGTTGTACCACTTACGAGTTTAGGATGTGATAATTATAGCTTAGATCAGCCAAGGTGTAGTGGTGCATGCCTTTAATCCTAGCACTGGGGAGGCAGAGGCAGGCAGATCTCTGAGGTTAAGGCCAGCCTGGTCTACATAGCAGTTCTAAGCCAGCTGGGGCTACAGAGAGACCCTGTCTCAAAAAGACCAAAAAAAAAAAAAAAAGGGTGGACCAGCTTGGTCCAAATAGTATGTTCCAGGCCAGCCAGAGCTATAATGAGACTCTCAAAAAAAAAAAGGAAAAAGACTTAGACCAGGACCAGAAACACAATAAAAAGTCAAACAAGACTATGCCACCTAAAGCCCAGACCATAGATCTTTACAAGGCCTGGCAAGGAAGTGAATCCTTATACAGGAAACCCAAGCTGGACAGGACAGGTTTAGAGAAGATGCTCACAGACTAGAAGTGAATGGAATCAACCAAAGGCTAAAGCACGAGGCGTGGCCCAAATACAGGTCAGGGCCACGGGCAAGAGCTGAGTCCAAGGGAGATGAAGTTCAGAGGACAGTTTTGAAAGGTGGGTTTATTAGCCCCTTCTACATTCCCCGAGGACTGAGGGCGGTCCATTGTACCCTCAAGGCTCTGAGCCAGCTGGGGCTGCTGCAAAGCACTCCTCCCCTCAAGAGTAGTAGAAATAACATGGAAAAAGGGAATTTTGAGACCCAGAGATTAAAGAACTCTGAGCCTTGGATTTATCACTCTACCAAAGAAAAAGGTGACACATCCTTTGTCTTGGGTTCTCTGAACCGTATGGACTCGGCTAGTCACTCTGTTGGCTCTATATAGATTGCTCGGCTAGGTTTACTTCTTCCGAGCTGTCCATTTAACAGATACCTTCTTGGTGCTTGGGGTTCTATCAGGGACTATATAGGCATTTCCAGCCATGCTTTAATTAAGTCTTTTTGTGACAGGGTCTCTCTGTAGCTCTGGCCTCTAACTCAGAGATCATCTCTACAGCCCCTCCATCCATACTTTAGTATCTGTTCTTTTACATTACTGGCTAGTTGATTAATGAAGCAATACTCATTGTAATGATTAAAAAAAAGAAAAAAAACAGGGGCGGGGGGAGTCCATTTTACTGACAGTTTTTAAATACATAAACTTCAGGAGGGCAAATGACTCTAAGTTTAAAGCTACAGAGGTGATATCAAAAAAGCCTTGAAAGCCAATGAATGGGCTCATTCCTAGGTCCTGCAGACATCCCACTAAGGCTTTAGGCACTTGGCCATGAAGATAGCTACGCAATGGGGCCAACTAACCTGGTAGTACACAGTTACTTCGGAGTTGGCATCACCTTTATTCAGCGCTCTGACTTTGCATAGGTGGTGGCCACTGGGCAGCTCTACCACCTGAAACTGCACAGGCATCTCCTGCTCCAGGGGCACGAAGTTCAGCTTGCTGTAAAAGAGTCAGCGTGGGTCACTGAGGCAGTCCTTTATGCTCTCCCCCACTCCAAACTGAAGGAGGACTCAGGCCTTCCACTGGCCCCCCAGAATTGCTTTGTTTACATCGGGCTTGAGAAAATCTGGCCCAGGCAATGTCTAAAATGTGATGGTTTAATGCCTTCTTTCTGGTAAGAGCATATAAACCTCGAAGAGAAAACCTAAACCAGTACTTACTCAACAACATATTTCAGGAAATCCATAGATTCCTATAAGGCAAAAGAGAAGAAAATACCTATATTAGTCCCTCTTGACATTAATTTCACTGAGACCCAATTTTCTAATTTCTTAAGGTACCTTGGCATTAGGAAAGCAAAGCTAATCTATCACCTAAGTGCTGGACAGGCCGGCCATTCACTCAAAAGGCTACTTACTAACTCAATATCTACTATATTTATCAAATACTAAGTGATTCAAATAAACTATTTTCTTACTTGCCTGGCAACTCTGCTTACTGCACATTTTAATGCTTTCCCCACTGTATTAAACATACCTATTCAACATTAGTTTATCTAGCTAGGCCACATAACTATGGTAGCTCTTGGGAAACCTGGGCCTTCTGACACAAGCCTGGACTGAATGAACAAGCAACAAAATAGCACCAATACGAGGTGAACTCATCCTTTTCCTCTCCCAAGACTTCTGTTTTCTTTCTATAAAATGAAGGATAAGTGGAGCTGGGTGAACTCAACTCTTAAGTGAATTTTTTTCTGCGGGTGTTTCTCAGCACTAAGTCTTCAAAGTCCAAAAACCCTGCCTGGTTCCTATGCTCTATTCAGAGACAAAGACAGTTATTTGTCTTGCCGTTGGTTTGAGACTTTAGAAGTTCTTTCTGTGGGCAGTGCAGAAACAGGCTGGTTTGGGGCTTGGGGGATAAATGCAAAAAGAAAGGGGGGAATAGCAGCTACAGTTTCCAATGTGACTGTTTGTATTCCATCAAAGCCTGAGAAATTAGGAGGGCATGGAGGAAGAGGGTTCAACAACCAAATGGCTTTAGGAGAGGGTTCTAAACAAGCACTCCTGCCTAGAAGAGGCTTCATTCAGATACAAGGTCCCAGAGATTTGCCTCTCAGTTTGCATCAGAACAACAGCTCACAATCCTGTGCTTCTCCACTAACTGAGAGGATCCACTAAGAACTATGGCAACACAGACTCCTCCTTTTCCCTCAGCTCCACATCCAATCAGGCACTGAGTTCTGGCAATCATGATTAGGAAATCACTTCTCGTGTACTTGGCTATTCAGGCTTCAACCTTTTCATATCACAAAGCTTATTATCTTAACCAATTTAAAAGTGTACAATTCAGGCTGGGTGTGGTGGTACATGCCTTTAATCTCAGCACTTGGGAGGCAGAGGCAGGTGGATCTCTGTGAGTTCAAGGCCAGCTTGGTCCACATAGTGAGTTCCAGGCCAGCTGGGCCTACAGGGAGACCCTATCTCAAAAATACCAAAAAAAAAAAAAAAAAAGTACAATTCAAGCTGAGCGTGGTGGCACATGCTTTTAATCCCAGCACTCCCCAGCACTTGGGAGGCAGAGGCAGGAGGATTTCTGAGTTCGAGGCTAGCCTGGTCTCTCTAGTGAATCCAGGCCAGCTGTGGCTACAGGGAGACCCTGTCTCAAAAAGGCCCACCCCCAAAAAGTGTAATTCAATAGTGTTAACTATATTCATACCTGTGAAGCAGATTTCTACAAGTTCTCCATGCTGTAAAATCAGAATTCTGTATCTATTAACTCCCTTCTTCCTCCCTCCTGGTCCCATTGGTCTGTAGAAATCACCATTTATTCTATGAATCTTACTACTTTAGATGAATCCCATATGAGTAGAATCATATTTTACTTAGCTTGGGATACAGGTTCTGGCTATTTATCACTCCCCTCCTCCCATGTTAATCATTACATTATTGCTTCCATACACAATCTTCATATTTAACCAAACATATATAAATGACAAGCCCCTTTCACTCAGTCTAAAGAGACTCAGCTGCCTAGAGCCTCAGAAGGTCAGGAACTCTGATCAGAATTTAACAACGCTGGCCCACCAGAACCACAGCGCTTCCTCTTTAGGGAAGAACTAATTTAACTCCAGAGTCATTTAACTCCATTCATAGCCCAGCCTCAAGTAATAGAGCACCTCACTCACCATGCTTGTGACATTCCCTTGTACCAGGCCCTCAACAAAGAGTTTGGATTTAAACTCTTTGACAAAGCTCAGCAGAGAATCAAGGGAAAGGCCATCCATCAAAGCCCGATACTTGTCGATCATTGACCACCGGGCATATTCCAGGATTAGTAGCCGCACATCTCTGTATAAAAAGCATTTTTTAAAAGCCATAAAGTTTTCTTGCAGAAAATGTATCTTAAGACTAAGAGAAAAATCTGAGTCAACCTGTAAAAGTGTTTCTAAAAATAAGCAATTCTCATCTCAACTTAAGAGGGAAAAACAATGCCAAAATAGCCAAAAGAGCAATTAAATTTACAGTTTTAAGTGGATTCACTCACCAGTACAACATGCACTTTCCTGTCTCTGTTGTAGGGTGAAATATATCACATAAGTTGCCAAATAAGTCAACTTTACCCAATTCTACACCAACTTGAAATAATTACTATTTCCTTTAGAACCCTCACTAATATGTACTAGAAGCCACAGCCATGGTGCCTATCATCACAGAGACCTTATAGTCTAGACAATGACCACAGTCCATAATCAGACTAACTTCACCCCCATCTCTAAACTGTCCCCCAACCCCACTCCTAATAAGCTGTCAGATTTCACAAGTTCCTGGTATTTGATTTAGTTTCTTCATCATTGTTCGATCACCATTTATAGAAGACATGAAGGGGCTTGAAGCCCTGCTCACAGGGGACTTTGCTGCCCCTCTCACAAAGTGTTCTGTCAGCTGACAGAGTACCCAAAGGGCACCTTTTTCTAATTCACAAACAGGTTACCATTAACCCTGGGCTAAAGGAAGAACAGGCTCTGATGGAAGGTCCTGGGGGTTGCATATCAGCAGAGGGTTTAAGCATTAACAGATTGTCCAATGCCGTCTGTTCTGAGCTGGAACCTGGGCTGAATTTTGGACAGTGAAGGTAATATAGTAACTGACTATTTCATTCAGCAACTCACATACTTCCTTCCCAGAAAGTCAGGCATTTTTAGTCCCAAAATGTAAACACATCCTGTGTACACATACTTGGCCAGAGTCTCAGGCTTGATGAGGATGTTAAAGTAGGTCTTCTTCAACTGCTCAGTTATCATTGTAAAGACAGCTGGTGTGGAACTGAACTCAGCCAGGTAGTCAATAATGAGCTGAAATAGTAGCTAAAATGAAAAAAGATGCACTTTAAGTGGTAAAGCAAGGAAATCAACTCAACATTAGGGAGAAAATGCTTCTCTTTTTCATTACCGGGGCACAGAAGGCACTAGGCAATGCAGGGGACAGTAAGGAAGTGTTAATGATGCAATCTCAGGCCAAACAGCAATGTTTCTCAAAGTGAAAGCAATGATTCTTCATTTTTTTATCATTTCATCACTTTCCTTGGCATTGTTTTCCTTCCAAACTATCTTAAAATGCCTTTAATTCCAGCACTCGGGAGGCAGAGGCAGGCGGATCTCTGTGAGTTCAAGGCCAGCCTGGTCCACATAGTGAGTCCCAGGACAGCTGGGGCTACAGGGAGACCCTGTCTCAAAAAGACCAAATAAAATAATAATAGTAATAATAAAATAATAATAATAATCTTATCAGGCTGGAGAGATGGCTCAGTGGTTAAGAACACTGGCTGCTCTTGCTGAGGACCGGTTCGATTCTCAGCACCCACATGACAGCTACAAACCGTCCATAACTCTAGTTCCAGGGGATCTGATGCCCTCTTCTGATCTCCATGGGCACTGTATAACACAGGTGCACCTACCGACATGCAGGCAATACATTCATACACATAAAGTAAAAATAATAAAATATTTTAAAATAATTGTATTGAGTGGGACCCACCACTCAAATGTCCTTTCATTGGAAGGCATACATGTACACTTGAAGAACAGTGGCAGCTGTGTAAAATGGATCTGTGTCATCAAGAGGCATGAAACTACCATTTTCTTTAGGTAAGTCTTATACTTCTTCCTACTTCTAGGCACTTTATTGTTTTCCCAATACTGGAACTGAAATACTTGTTTCCACTCACCTCTAAGAGGTCACTGCTGCAACAAGGTAAAGCCATTGAATTCGAAAGTGATGATCTCATGACTGGCCACATCACACCAGATCAGTTTTAATATTTTTATTTTATTTTTTTTATGTGTATGAGTGTATTGCCTGCTTGTATGTGAGTGCACCCGTATCGTGCAATGCCCAAGGAGGTCAGAAGAGGGCGTCGGATTCCCCTGGAACTGGAGTTAATAGATGGTTCGTAGCCGCCATGTGGGTGCTGGGAACGGAACCCAGGTCCTCTGCAAGAGCAGTCAGTGCTCTTAACCACTGAGCCATCTCTCCAACCCCACCAGATTAGTTTTTAGTCTTATAATATATCAGACTTCCTAAGAATACAATCATACAGCCTATAAAAATACTTTTTACTTTCTAAAAATAAGTTTTCATTTCACTTTCCATCTCATTGTAGTAGCCTAAACTCTAAAACAATGTTGACCAAATAACAGAGGCAGTTCGTGCACAATCCTTGACTTTTTCCTGATTGTAATGTTCATCACCTTACCATTTAAAGTAACATTTATTTCTATTTTTGAATTTTTTATTGTGTTTAAGCATTTTCCTTTAATTTCTATTTATTAGGAATGCCAAATCAAATTTATTAAATTTGCAAGATCTGTCACCTGTGGCCATATGGTTCTCTTCTGGCTCATGTTGTAAGAAAGTTTTGGAGTTACTTTCCCTGTTGCTGTAATAAAATACCATGGCAAGAACAACTTAAGGAAGAAAGGGCTTCTTTTGGCTCACAGATCCACGGTACAGTCATCATGGTGGGGAGGGCATGGTGCAAGAGCTTAAGGCACTTGGTCACAACAGACTCTGGTCTGCATCCAGTTAGGAAGCAGAGTGATGCATGCTCCTGCTCAGCTCCTTGCCTCCTTTTTATTTAGTCCAGGATCCCAGCCCATAGAATGGTGTTGTCTATAGTTAAGGGAGGTCCTCCCACCTCAATGAACTCCATCTAAATCATCTCACACAGGCATGCCCACCCACAGGCTAGTCTCCCAGGTGACTCTAGATCCTCCCAAGTTGCCAATATCAGTCATTATAGTTCACTGTGTTCATAATGTCCTAATATGTGGTCAACCCTATCATTCCTAGGTCATGGGCTTTATTCATTTTGCTATATTGTCAGACTTGATTTTCAAACATTTAGGAAGTTTGCATCTGTATTCTGTAA